ACATTCCTACGTGGAAAGATGATATTTGGAAGTCATGAGACCTTTGTCAGTATTAGGGTAGTTGGAGGGGGAAAATATATGTATAGATAGATAGATAGATAGATAGATAGATAGATAGATGATAGATAGATAGATAGATAGATAGATAGATAGTTAGAGGGCACAGGGTGAGTTGAAGATAAAGGGGTGATGTCTAAAAATAAAATTAAGGGGTGAGAGAAGATTATACTGGGAGGAGAAAGGGAGAGGTAGAATGGGGCAAATTATCTCACATAAAACAGAGGGAAGGTGAGGGGAATGAATAAATCTTATGCTCATTGGATTTGGCTTAAGGAGGGAATAACATACACACTCAATTGGGTATGGAAATTTATCTTATTCTACAGGAAAATAGGGGAGAAGGGCATAAGAGAGGGGGGATGATAGAAAAGAGGGCAGATTGAGGGAGGGGGTAATCAAAAGCAAACATTTCTGAGGAGGGACAGGGTCAAAAGAGAGAATAGATTTCTTTAGACAATGATACCAGCAGTTGAATTGCTTTGTCATAGGATATGATTTCTTTTGTTACACTTCCTACCCATTACCAGATTGCCCTCCCAAAAGCCCTCATTGGGTTACCATCTCACGATATAATACAGTGCTTATTCCTTTTCCCAAATCACTACCAATATTTTTGCCAATTTGAAATGTGTAAGGTGATTCCATAAAGTTTTTTCAAGATATTTTGGAAATCAAAATCTTGTGTAAGTGAATGTTGAAAACTAAACATAAATAAAATATTAATAAAATAGAAAATAGAAATTGAATTTTTTTATAACTTCCTTTTCTCTGACCCTTTAATAATTATAGTTGGTTATTTGGGTGGTTTTGGAATGCATGCCTTTGCAGTAATAGATACATATTCTTTAGGGCCACACGTTAGGAGAATGACCAGAATGCTGAAGTCTTGAGTTTATATCACATGTAAATAGATTGAAGGAACTGTGATGTTTAGCCTGGAGAAGAAAAGACTAAGAAGGAGGGGTAATGGGAGCTGTCTTCAAATATTTAAAAGGTCATGATCTGGGAGAGGAGTTAGACTTCATCAATTTGGCCACAGAGGACAGGACTAGAGGCAAATATAACTCCCCCACACCAGGATTACACCCTAGACCCCTGAGAGTAAATTATAGCAGTATGGATGCCTATTCTAGGAAACCACCCTAACCCTTGGCATGTGTACTGGTGTAATAGACTAGTTGGCCCTTGCCCAGAGAGATAGGAGAGCAAGGAGTAGAGGAAAAGAAGTCAACACAATGTCCATGCTATGTAAGTATATACAGAATATATAATCAAAATTGTACATTCTATTTTTTATGATTTTTTTCTATTTTTTGTTCGGAAAAAAAAAACTTTGTCTATCCATAGTTCTAAAATGTATCTCTTTTCTTCTTCAATTCATTTATGATATTACCTTTTTTATTTTGGTCATGTATCTGTTTATAGCTCTTTGTGATATGTGGTGTCAGATGTTGATATAAACTTAACTTTTACGTGATTGCTTTCTAGTTTGTCCAGAAATTTTTGTCAAATAACAGTTCCTGACCACCAGGAGTTGGTGTCTTTAAATTTATCTAATGCTATGCTACTGTTTTTTCCTGTTTCTGGAACTTGTTTAGGCCTAATCTCCACTGACCAACTTTTCTATTTTTTAACTGGTATCAAATAGACTTGATGATTATTGCTTTGTAGCAGAGTTTGAGATCTTGTACTGCTAAGCTTCTATTACTTTCCATGTTCTTACATTATTTTACATGAGATTCTTGACTTTTTTTCCCCCTTCTAGACAAATTTTGCTATCTTCCCCTCTCTCCTGCCCCTGGTTTTTATGAAGTAATTCTTTGGTAGTTTGATTTGTATGACACTACATATGTAAATGTATTTAGGAAGTGAATCTACCATTGTTAATATGTTAACATTACTTGGATCAGTTAATATCTCTTTATTTGTCTTTTCTTTCTGTAAATTGCATTTTGTAGGTATATTTGTATATATTTATTGATGGACTTTCAGTTACTTTCTAAGCACTTAAACTTGGCTGATTCCTATTTAAAGAGAGGGGCTGAGGATAGAGAGGGAAGATATATACAAATGAGCAATTCCTATCTTGTAATTCTTCATGATTGGGACTTCAATGTCCACCCATTAGGGCCATTTTCAAATGTTTAATTGGCCTATCTTTACTTATGATTATCTACTTCTTGTCTTAAATTTTGACATCATCTTAATTTCTGCATATGTCCCTCCCTTTTTTTCGATAGAGAGATCTACCTCTTAGAATAAAGAATAAGAAAGAGAGGTAGAACAAAAACAAAAATCATTTCCCTCAAACTAATGACATTAACCAACATAAGATTCTTTGGAATGTTCTGTATCACAGTGCTCCAGTTTTACAAAAAGGAAGTAAAGCGCATTTTCACATCTTTTTCTTCAAGAATAAATTTGGTCATTATAACTATGTAGTTTTCAGCTTTGTTAATTTTTTCTTGTTTACTTTTTTGTAGTAATTGCCTACATTGATTTCCTGGTTCTACATATATCATTCTGCATCAACTCATGTAAGTTTTCTGAGTTATCTCTGGTTTCTTTATATACATTATTTCTTGTAGCACAATAATATTTAATTGTATTCCTGTATCATAATTTGTTTAAACATTCCCCAGTTGATGAATATCTGTTCTGTTTCCACTTCTTTATAAAAAACTGCCCTAAATACTTTCATGCATACGGGGCCTTTATGTCTTTCATCTCCTAGAAGGTTGGGGGTGGTATGCTCAGTAGTAGGACCTCTAGGTCAAAGGATGTTGACAGTAAGTCACTTTCTTAGCATAATTTCAATATGCTCTCCAGAATGGTTGGGCCACTTTACAGCTCCACAAACAGAGTATTAATATGCCTGTCTTTCTACTGTAACCTTTAACATTGATTATTTCCAACTTTTGTCATCTTTGTTAATTTGATAGTTATAAGTTGGGTTGTTGAGGATTGTTTTTATTTTCATTTTCCTAACATTTATTTAGGTTACTATTTCATGTTTTTTTTAAAGTTTGCAAATCTTTTAAGAATTATTTTTCATATGTTTTGATTAACTTATCCATTGGGGTATGGGTCTTGTTAATATATATTTAAATTTCTTGTTGCTATTAAACCCCATTTCTTCTTGTTTGGGAAAGAAGATCTTATCATTTATAGATGGGAAAGAATAGATGATAGAGGTATGTGTTAAATTAATTGATAGGTTGAAGAATTAACTGAAAAGTCAGTGTTAAGAAAAATTGTCACCTGGTATAGGGCAGTGGTGGGAGATAGGAGCTGGAGCTATGGGATGCAAAGTCACTGAAGTTTTCCCACTGTGACTTTCAACCCTCCAGGAAAGGCCCTTTCACTCTTAGGACTGAGGAATAATGATTCTTTTAACATAGCACAATAATACCTGAGGGATTTTTCTTCCTCCTTTCAGGCTTTTAAAAATGAATTGAGGTAACTAGGTACATATTACTCCCAGAGAGGACATGATTCCTCCTCTTTTTACCCTGACATTACCTTCCCCTAGCTTTCAAAATAGATGTAGGTCTCTATTGCACAGGATAAATCATTTATTGGACATTTGCAAGAAACCTCTCTTTTAAGGGTCCTATCTTTGGTGGGGAATATGAGCAGAAAGGGAAGAGTCCCCTTGGAGGTCAGAGAAACTGGAAATCCAACAGAACTTTGGTTATCTTAATGACCAATCCTTCTAGGTAAGGAAGTGGGCATCCCAGCAACACATGGATCACTCATCTTGGGTGATCTGGTGGGACAGTGGCAGGGAACTGATTATACAATGTAATCATAAGATGACTCAGGAGGAAGAAGTGAAAGGGCTTGGGAGCCAGGTGAGGAATTCATGTGCTAGATATGACTTTGGCCCAGGAGAAGGTCCCTAGGGAGAGATGAAGAATGAAAGTATTGTCAAAAAGTATTGTCATGCAGGTCTGGAGGTGGTTAACACACAGTTCAGTGATGATGAAGAGAAATGATGAGGGTGGAAAAAACAACAGAATAAAGATACATATTCCAACATTCCCCCAAATTGTGAAGTTGTGGTAAATATCTTCATGAAGATAAATGGGAAGTGGTAATTGCCTATTAAAATTCCAAACCTAGCACTAATTTTCTTCCCTGAACTCTAGCCACATCCTCTTCATAGTTCCTAGCTCTAATTCCCTTAATAATCTCACCCCAATCTCTATCACTCAGGCCACTTCACAATCTTCACTCAGTCTCCCATACATTGATTTTTTGGAGACAAGGGAATAGATAAAGAGGAAGGGACAAGCCAAAAGGAGAGGGGAAGAGGAAAGGAGCAAGAAAGGATGGTTATTATTAAAAGAGGAGAATTAAAATATCCATAAGGGGGAAGGGAATGTTAATCACTATCACTTCCTCACTTAACAATTGCTTTGGAGGAATATTTCAAGATAAATAGATAGAACCCAAACACAGCTGGGAACTCATAATTCCTGGGATCTACTAAGGTCTCACACTGATTCACATTGATTCCCAGTTACACAGCTGAATCTCAGGGCTTTCATCTCTGGATCTCCAAAGAGCCACAATCTCAAGAAATAGTCCCAGGTTTAACTATAATAAACCTGCAGGCCAATGTGAGATTCCTTACTGGGTGAGTTTCTCACATTGATCTGTGGAGACAAAGCAGAGTACTAATGATCTCAGGCATCAGAACTATACTGATTATTTTTGTCACCATGCACAAGGAGAGAAAAAATGAACTCTCTGTGTTAGGATAAAGGAAACTAAGTTGAGACTCTTTACATCCCAAAAAGTCTTCTCAGTTTCAGCTTAAAAGAAAGGGGAGACACAAGTTTGAAGAAATTACCATATCTGGTCAAGTATACAATGTCTTCCTCGTTAAGTTTGTTGTTTAAACAAAATTCTTCAAATTTCTCCTTGATTTCTTCTCACAGGACTGGGTGGCGGGCTGTAAGTAGGATGAAAGTTAGAATGTGTATTAAATCACTCTCCTTGGTCATTTGAGATAATATAGAGGGGATGGGTTGGCTGGCTGGCTGGACATGGGGAAGGTGGATGATTTGGGAAATTCAGCTGTCACATACCCAGAGATTAATTAGTATGGTGCTTTATGCTTGGGCAGAAAGGAGGGGAGAACATCTTCCAATGATTATGGAGATGAGGTCAGGAGAGACTGAGGATCAGACCAAATCTTCTAGCTGATTCCAAGAAGAGGGAAAGGGAAAATTCCCATAAGAGATATCCTACTGCTCTGGACCATCTACTCCCCAGCTCCAATCATTAGAAGAGAATTCACTGTATTGCACTGATCACAACATCAGAATCATATGTCATCTTAGAGATCATCTAGTCCAAGTTCCTAATTTTACAGAGGAGGTAACTTCAGTTCTTCCAGTCACGGAAATGGGGCTAGGGAATACAAGGATGGGTGGTGGAATCTCTGGCTAATCATAACTGGCAGAAAATTCATCTGTTTTGAAATGCCAATAAAGGTTTAGGGATAGCAAGTTCATAGGAGAGTTTTTTTAAAAAAATTCCCTTTGGTTAATTTTTCCCTTCCCCCGCAATGTTCTTCCACTAAACTCTTTCTTCTGAACATTCCTCTCCCAACACTTTGTCCATATCTCTCCTTACACTTTTTAATTATTGACTTGTATGCATAATTTGTTGTTATGTTTTGGCATCCTTTGTGGACTGATATATCCATGAAGGAGCTTCTTTATATCCCTCAGTGTCTAAGAAAGTAATAATACATAGCCAAGACATAGTAAATATTTATGAAATTTGTTAATGAATGAAGAAAAGAACATTTTTCTTGTGCCACAAAATGAGGTAATTGATAACCTATCTCTCTTCTCTCTTTCATTTTTTAGGTAAGGCAGAATCTTCCTTATTACATGCAGGGCTCAGAGCTGTCTTTAGAAGTTACCCAAAGGGTCCCAGATTGGCCAGTTTCTTCTCTTAGGAGATGCTTCCCCTAATCTCAAACATTGCATATTGTACTGGATGCACCTTTGGACACCTTCAAATCTTTCTTTCTTTGCTCATCTTTTCTGTTGGAATAAGGAAGAGGAGTGTTAGGGAGGGGCATAGAATACATACCATAGAGCTGTAACACTAATGTTACACCATTCTCATTGTAGTTATATAAGGTCGATATGATATATTCATCATGCTTTACATGTGTGAAGTAGAAAATGTTTGCCCCTGAGTCTGTGAAAATCACCAGTGCACAAAGGTTAGAATTTCTTATATATAGAATTTCTTATAGTAGTGCAACAGCATTGGATTCAAAAGACCCATTTCAAGTCATCTTATAGAGTTCCTCACCTGGCTCCCAAGCTCTTTCACTTCTTTCTCCTGAATCATCCTACGATTACATGGTGTAATCAGTTCCCTACCACTGTCCCACCAGATCACCCAAGAATTATTAAAGAATTTCTTAAAAGGAAAAAGACTAATGAAGTATTTGGAGTTGTACATCTGCAAAGTGTTTTCCCTGGAAACCTTTGTCTCATTACTCCTCTGACATCCCTGTCAAACTGTTCTTCTGATCCCAAACCCTTCTCAAAGTTGCTCCTATTTCCATCTTCCCTCCCCTCTGCCACCCAAGTCACAGAATGTTAACATTACAAAGGATCCTGTAAATCATTTAGTCTAATCACCTACTTTTATCGATGGAGAAATTGAGAACCAGAAACAGTAAGTGACTATTTTAAGATCATATATTCTTATTTATATTTACATAGTGATATATATTGATTCTCTTTGTCTGTCTTGTAATTTTTCAGGAGGATCTTGGAACATTTACCATTTTTCCTGGAAATAAAAGTTCCAATATAGTGTTTTTGTAGTGGATTTAATTTTAAAAACATATCCAAGGGAAGAGTAACTAAACAAAGGAGAGAGTATCACCAGACAGAAAGTATTGAAATTTGATTACACAAAACTTAGCTTTTGTCCTAACAAAATCAATGCAGTGAAAATTAGAGGGAACTTTAACTGGAGGAAATAAATTTTTGCAGCAAGGTTACTTGATAAAGGTCTGATATCCAATATATAGCAAGAACTGATTTAAATATGTAAGAACAAGATCCATCCCCAATTTATAAATGGTTAAAGGATTTAACTATGCAATTCTCAAAAGAAGAAATGCAAGCCATCAATAACCTTAAGAGGAAAATGTTCCAAATCACTGATAATAAGGGAAATGAAAATTAAAACAACTTTGAGGTTCTACCTCTACCCATCAGATTGGCAAAGATGCTGGGGCTGTAGGAGGACACACTGATACATTGTTGGTAGAACTGGGAATTATGAGTCCAGACATCTTAGAAAGCAATTTAGTTCTATCCTCCAAAAGTCACTAAATAAATCTATAAATGCCACTATGAGGTATGTAGTCCAAAAAGTTACAAGAAAGATGGAAAGGACCTACATGTACAAAAATATTTATAGCTTTACTTTTTGTTCTAGCAAAAAACCAAAAACTAAGTGGGTGTTCAATTAGAGAAAGGCTTGGCAAATTATAGTATTTGAATGCAATAGAATATTACTACAACATAAGAAAAGACAAGGGGGATGGGTTCAGCAAAACCTTAAAATATTTATATGATCAGAATTAGAGAGAAGTTAGAACTAGGGAATAATTTATACAATATCTATAATATTATAAAGAAAAGAAGCTATGAAAGACTTGAGAATTCTGGGCAATGCAAAGATTATTTCAAAGAACTGATAATGAAGCAGGCTTCTCATCTCAAAACAAAGTGATATAGAAGTAAAGTGCAGAACATGATACGCATTTTCACATATGACAATATGTGGATTTGATTTTCTCACTTCTTCTCTTTTATTATGAAGGAAGGTTTAATTTTGTGAGTGTGGAAGAAGAATAAGTAGGGACGTTGAAGCTATAATAGTGATGAAAAAAGGCAAATAAAAAAAGAGCATCAATGAAGCATTTAAAAAACTGCATAGGACAGAACAGATTAAGCTTTAGAGGGCAATGAACAGGACTCCTTTGAACTAATATGTTGAATTTATTATGTATCTTAAAAAAGAAAACAAAACCAAACATAGTTGGTATTCAGGTTTTCAAATGCAATCCACTTGTTCTGTTTTATGTGGAAATATTCATGTTTGTCAGTGTTTGTTAAGTTTAGAATAACAAAAAAAAATAAAATAAGAACACTTCCATATCTATACAAATAATTTCAATTTCTATCTAGAATTCAAACCATCACAAAATTTACTCATTTTTTTAGGCTTACAATAACGTGATTACTGAATTTCCTTCGTACTTCTCAAATTAGATTAAAATAAATCACCATTCTGTTTAACATAGTAGTTGTTTTTTTTAGTTATGTGTGACTCTTTGTGATACCATTTTGGGATTTTCTTGGCAAAGATACTGGAGTAGTTTGCCCTTTGCTTCTCCAGCTCATTTTACAAATGAAAAAACTGAGGCAAACAGGATTAAGTGACTTGCCCAGGATTACACATCTAGTAAGTGTCTGAATTAAGATTTGAACTCAAGAAGATGAGTCTTTCTGATTCCAAGCACAATGCTCTATCCATTGGGAGAGAGTGTAGAATATATTTTAATTCATCCTGATTATTTGAAAATCTATAATCTGTATGCAATGTTTGTGAACTAGAGTATTCAAGTAGACTGAACATCTCTTTCTTTAGTTATTTGGCAAAAAGAGAATGGGGACTTTTGGAAAGGACTTGAATCATGAGAAGAGCAGTAGAATTGGATTCAAAAGACCTATTTCAAGTCATAGAATTGCCACTTCCTAATCATATGACTTTAGGTATATTTGGGTCTGATAATTAGATATTACATTCATTGTTCTAATGTATAAAGTGGGAATAGTAATGCTTATGCTGTATGTTTTAAGGGGTTATTGGGGAGAAAACACTCTTTTAACATTAAATCACTAGAATATTGCTAGCTCTTACTACTTTTATCTAATATTATCTCCAAATCATTCCAGGGAGGTGAATAGAGAAGATTCCTTCATTCCTGTCTTACAGCTTTAACAGAGACATAGCTGTAATAATTGGTCCAGAGTCACAATCAGTTAATAAAAGAATAAAGACAAGAAATCAGGTTTAGTTTTTTTTTTCCCCTACTAGATTTCATTGCTCAGAGTTAAGAATCTAGGAGGGCTATTTTTTTCACATCTCCCTTTCTGATGTTAGCAAAGTCTTTCAGGATCTATTGAATGAAGATTAAGTCCTTGAGGGGCAGCTAGGTGGTGCAATGAATAGAGCACCGGCCCTGAAGTCAGGAGGACCTGAGTTCAAATATGGCCTCAGACTGAACACTTGACACTTACTAGCTGTGTGACCCTGGGCAAGTTACTTAACCCCAATTACCTAAAATAAAAAAACAAAAAACAAAGATTAAGTCCTTGATGTGATTGCCAGGTTCTAAGCATGATATATGCCCTCTGTCAAGATCCCAATGCCAAGAGCATCCCTCTCTTTCTACTGTTCTCTTTTTACTATTAGAAGATGCCCTGTTTTCCAGAGCTGTGGCCCAGCAAGCAAGCTGAGCCTTAAGCTTGGCATAACAACAATCCTTTGCTCTCACCCTCTGGATGACTTGCTACAGCTTAATCTGAGAATTGGCTCAAGCCAGTCCCAGGTGGTCCCGAGCTTGGATAAGCACCTGTAGGAACCACATTCCAGTCATGAAGCCCTTCTATGAATAGATTTTTTTTTTTGCTCGGCAAACTTGCCTCATTGTTATCCCTCACCATGGGGCTCTTTGTCTAGCCACAACTACATGTATGAAATCTTAGCTTTGCTGCCTTGGGTCTCCTCCTGGAGGAGAACTTGGCATGCATGTTTAGTTTCCCTTCTCCAACAGAATAAAGAATGCTCTTTGCTTATAACCTCTGTGAGCTTTTTGGTTTTATTTTATTTTCCAGAGTTGACAGTTGGTGTAATAACCTCTGTGGCTCTTTGGTCATTTATTTTCGGATTTTGACACTTCTATCCCCTCTGTCTAGTTTTTGTCTCTGTCCCCTTAGCAGAGATATCTCTCAGAACCCATCTTGTCTCCAACTGATGGCTAGTGGCTGAGAAGTGAGTCAAGGATGGTTGAAGAAGAAAGAAAACAATGGCTCTCCACTCTTCATCAATCATGATTAAAAACTAAAACAAAATCAATCCCTGAGGCTTTGTACAAGATATAATGTTATTATTCCTTAATTATCACATTATTAACTATATTATGCTATAGTACATTATCATATTAATGTATCACATTAATTATAATAATTCTTGTAATATTATTGTGATAAAACCTCAGGGCTTCATTGTGTTTTGGTTTTTAAATCACACATGCAACTCATATTGCCTTTAAAGATTTTTCATTTTCAAGTTTTCCCTTTATTGGTCATCTTAATAATAGCAAGCACATAGCCGTAGAGCCTAATCAGAAACTTATTCCTAGAACAATGGAAAGCCAGCATGCCTGTGTTAGAGTGTGGTGGATACAGCCCAGATCTGTGACCCAGCTATTTATCACTTCCTTCTTCTAGCTAACACAGGTATCACTTACCTTCCCATAAATTCTCCATGTAGCTTGTTACCATTTGTTACGATTTGGTGTAGAGAGATTCTAAAGGGAGCTCCCTTCTTGATCTTTGATGGGTCGTTTGAAGTTATTGCAATAGTGTGCCAGGATCCTGAAAGCTGTGGAGAAGGGATATTGAACATTTCAACCCTCTCATTTTATAGATGAAGAAACCAAAGTCTTCAAAGTAAAAGGTATTCCTACTCTCATCTTTCCTGGTGCATACATGATCATTTTTGGTATGCAAGAAGCCACTCAAGGATTTTAGATCTGTTACACTAACTAGCTAGGTGATGATGGACAAGGCACATTATTTCAGTGCCTGCGTTTGCTCATCTTTCAGATGGGAAAATAAAACTTCTACTTCATACTTAAAGAAGTTATTGTGAAGACTAAATGAGATTTCCAAAAATTTTACTCTATTTCTTCCTCCTAAACATGATTCTACTTCAATAATATGGGGACAGTCAGGATGGAGATTGTCACTGCAGCAAGAGCATGTGGAGTGGGATTTGAACAGCTTGTTACACTTCTGTTTCACTAATGAAAGACTTGAACTTTGATTCTTCTCTCTATCTGCCCAAGGAATTCTCTTCTTCTCTCTCTGACTGGCTCTGAGAATTCTCCCTAGGCCATGACAGAACCTACATAGTATCCAGTCCCAGAGGCTGTACAGAACTAAACACCAAAGCTACCATTTGGATCCTGCTAGCACAATGGGTGTGAATGGCAGGTCTTACAGCAAACACCTGGCAGCCCTACACTTTAGAGTGATAGTTCTGCTAGGGAACACCCTCAGCATTTATGGGCTCCTTTTCATTTGGTTTCACTTGAAGTCAGGTAGGTTAAGATGAATCACATTAAAGAATAGCCTCAGCGAGTCATGGAATTCTTGAGTTAAGGGGCCTATAGAAGTTATCTTGTCATCATTTTACAGACACAGAAAATATCCAATTTATTTAGACTGTGAGAAAAGAGAATCCGTAGCATTTCTTATACTGATTACTTTTAGAGAGGCTAGAGAGAGTACTTGTACGCAGAAACTTCATTCACACCTATTGCCTTCCCCACCTCCCATATTTACCTTCACATCATTTTGGACAATGAAATAAATTCAGGCATTCATATGCTCCACAAGTATTGAAAAGGCCAGTTTTGAATTAGAAGACACAAATCACATGTCCTTTTTATCTTTGCACAGAAGGTATTGACCTGCACTGGTAGGGGGACTCTCCTCATCTAGAAATTTCCCATACAAATGAAACCACAGGTCCAGTCTCTATCTCCTATAAAAGGTTTCTTGGACATAAATACAACAATCTACTTTTGAATAATTTCAGACTTTCAAGTGACTTCAACCACTCACATTCATTATAAGTATTCAAAAGGATAGCTTTGAGTTAGAAGACACAAATGCCCATCTCCTTTCCATCTTTCCCTCCTCTACAGATAGATGCTCTGCTTTCCTTGCTTTTTACCCCCAAATCTCTCCCCAGCCCCTCTCCACCCATCTGTACCCACTCTTGTTCATTTACATTTTGTTGGTGCTCCTCACAGTGGCCATGGTGGGCCTGGGTGCCTCTGACCAGGGTCAGTCCCATGATTAGCAGCAGAAGTTTCACTTGCCTCATGTCGGTAGCAGCTGAGACTATGAGAATGGTTCCAATGAATGTTCTGGGTCCTCAGTTCATCTGCTTTTATACATCATCTTAGAGTGGTGGTTCCTGATGATGTGGCACTTTGGAGTCTCCTTCAAATACCCCCCAAGATTCTTTGTATTAAGAATCTCATGCCAACTATAGTCTGTGAGACAAGCATCTCAAGAACCTTGACTGATGTGTTTTCTTATTCTAAAAATTATATATTTCTGAAATGTATATTTCTAAGAACAATAGACATTATTATGATGAGCTAGCTTCCTGGAATAACTGATAGATCTAAAGTAAGATCAGAGAGTCCAAATATTATTTCAACTATTCCTGTGCTAGTCAGTTAGTTAACAAGCACTTACTAAAAATCTAAAGTACATAGATTCCCCAGGAAGAGTGCCAAAGCCGAAGGAAGCAAAGTCATCTTCTTGGGGGAACTTTGTCTTGTGATAGGACGATTTAATTCAATAAACATTTATTAAGTGTTTACTTTATGTTAGATACTGAACCAAATATGTTCAGATAAGGCTTAATCCCTGACTTCATGGAGCTCCTAGTCTGGTACCCAGTAATGCACGATAAGTTATTTAAAGAATTCTCTTGGGAATAGTGATTAATTTGGGTGGAACACAGCAGACATAAAGGGGAGCAATTGCTAGACACTGATGATGCTGGCCAGGGGGAAATTACTGTGTACTTAAGGTAAGAGAGATATGTGACTGCCCTCAGGTATTAGTAACTCTTCAGCTGTGTCTCATAGAATGAAAAGATATCTTTTAAGATGGTATTTTTTAAAATTTTATTTAATATTTTACTTTTTCTCAATTACATGTAAAAACATTAACATTCCTTTTTTCCCCAAATTTTTGAGTTCCAAATTCTCTTCCCCGCATTGAGAAGGTAAACAATTTGACATAGGTTACACATATGTAGTCATGTAAAACTCATTTCCAAGTAAGTCATTCTGTGAAAGAAAACAGACAAAAAAAGAAAGTAAAGAAAAGATATCTTTGATCTACATTCAAGCTCTACCAGTTCTTTCTCTGGAGATGGATAGCACCTTTCACCATAAGTCCTACAGAATTGTGTTGAATCACTGAATTTCTGAGAATGGCTAAGTCATTCATTGTAAATCATCATAAATTATTGCTGTTCCTGTGTACAACACTCTCCTGGTTCTGTTCATTTCACTTTGCATCAGTTCATGTAAGTTAGAATGGTATTATTAAAGGTGCACCTGTAGGGATCAGGTACTTCCTGTGGAATAGGAGCAGTGAGTCTGTGAATGAGATTGAGAGAGGACTGTTTTTATTGGAGCAGTTCAGGAGTTGCTGCTGATAAAAAGAGTGTGTGTGACAGGATAAGGGAGAACAAGGACTGAATCAGTTTAGGTTGAAGGAGTCTGGGAACTTGGGCCCCTAGCAGTCTGTATGTGAACATGGAAATAGAAGACAGGTTTAAGAGAAGAAGGAGAGAGAACACTAGGGTGAGCACAATCTGTCTCACTCCACTTGTGCATTTTCATTGCTCCCACAGCTGCCACCTTAGCTCACTCTCATCCATTACTTATCACTTGGACTATTGCGATGGGGTCCCTTGTTTCATTCTGTCTAAAATCTCTCTCCTCTCCCATCCAGTCTCTACAATTCATTTGACTTGCAAATATCTCAAAGGATAGAAACACAACAAAGGTGAAGAAATGTAACTACAAAGGAAAAGACAAGTAACAAAATAATTTACTTCACCTTTAAATAGTTCTTGTTGTTGTTTAGTTGATTGGTTCTGTCTGACTCTTCCTGACTCTATTTGTTGTTTTCCTGGCAAAGATACTGGAGCGTTCTGTCATTTCCTTCTCCAGCTCATCTTACAGATAGGAAACTGAGGCAAACAGGGTTAAGTAACTCACCAGGTCACACAGCTAGTAAGTGTCTGATGCTAGATTTGAACTCAGGTCCTCCTAACTGCAGGGCCTAGCACACTATCCACTGTGTCACCTAGCTGCTCATCTCTAGATACTACTAAAAGGAAAAGCAAACAAACAAAGAATCAGATACAACCCTATGGGGTTAAAAAAAAGTAACAAAAGTGGAAACATTAAGAGATTTCTTTCTAAAAATACACAAAGGGATAATGGTGATATGGAATTTAAAGAAATAGAAGTTATGGTAGAACAACAGGCCTGAAATACCATGCACTAGGCCTCATGTGCCCTACAGGAAAATCAAGTATTTTACAGGACTAAACTGTGGAATGGGTGGGCACATTGAAAGGGAAAGGCATAGTAGAAGACACAATGAAATGTGCCACGTATCCTAATCAAATCAATGGTCAATGAAGAGAAAATAACCTGTAGTCTCTCAACAAGAAGAGGAATTAACAGTCATGCAATTATACAAAATAAAAGCAAAAATTCATAAAATGGGATAATTAAGGAAACTACATTACACTGAAAGAATCACAGAAGCAAACCAATGTTATTATTAAAATTATATGATTCAAATTCCTAAAAATTAATAAAGGCAAAATTAACTGAATTACAAGAAAACATAGTAACATGCTAATAACATCAGACTTCAATCCTACTTTCTCAGCTGTGAACAAATTTAACAGGAAATATATAGAACTGAAGAAATTGCTGGAGAAGTAGAGCTAAAAGACTTATGGCATCTTTTAAATAGGCCTATGAAAGAATGTGTGTATTTCTCAGCACCACATGGAAATTTTACAAAAACTCATCATGTATTAGAGCAGAAACAAATGCAAAAGGACAGAAAGAATAAATTCATCCTTTATAGATCATAAAACAATAAAAATAGTAATCATTTCAAGGAGTACAAATGCAAGACATTTCACAAAAGGAGACTTAACAAAGGAATCCTAAATAATGAATGGCTCAAAGAACAAATCATAGAAATAATTATTACATAAATGAAAAAGATAAAGGTGAAACAACAGGGGAAAATTGTATTCCTAAAACATACATAAACAAAATAGAAAAGAAGGCATTTAGTAATCTGAATATGTATTTTGAGAAATTAAAAAGACAACAAATAAACCTAAAATAAGCAAATAATGAGATATTGACAATTAGGACAATAGGTAAGCTGGAAACCAAAGAAACTACAGAAATGATTTTTTAAAGTTCCTAAACTCTGGTTCTTTGAAAAGACTAGAATGTTGATAAACTTTTTGCTCATCTGATTAAAAAGACAAAACATTAAATAAAAAAATTGAAAATGCACAGGATGAAGTCCCAACAAAACTAGAAATAAAAAAAAAACAGAACCTTCACAGTTATAAGGTAACAAAACTGAGAACACAAAAGAATATTTTCAAAATTATGAAACACTCAAACTAACAAAGGACCAGTAGAGATGTAAAATAATTCAATCTCAGAAAAGGAAATAGAATTTTACCAGGGATGCAAGGATGGTTCAATATCAGGTAAATAATACAATTAATCATATTAAAAACAAAAATATCCTAAACTGAATGATTATCTCCAGAAAAAGGCTTAAAAAGTATAATGCTCACTTATGGTAAAAATAATATAAAGTATAGGCATAGAAAGATCTTTGAAATTATTACTAAAATTATTTACCTAAAACCAAAAGTAAGCATCATATGCAATGGGGATACAGTAGAAGTTTTCTCAGCAAATAGAGGAATAAATTAGGATGTCCATTCTCTCCTCCATTGTGTGATACAGTTCTAGAAATGTTAGTAATAGCAACAGGACAAGATAAAGAAATTAAAGGTGTAAAGACAGGCAAAGAGGAGTTAAAACCATCCCTATTTGCGGATGACAATGGTTTACTTAGAAAATCCTGTTTTTTAAATTTCTATTTTTCCATCAAAGATATTGAAACAATAATGTCAGTAAATTTGCTGGCTACAACATACTTCCCCTGCCTCAATCAATAGTATTTCTATTGATATCTAAAAGGATTGTAAGCTTCTTGAGGGCTTGGACTGTCTTTTTGACTTTTTTTTGTATCCCTAGAGCCTAGCACAATGCCTGGGGTATAGTAGGTACTTAATAAATGTTTATTGATTGATTTATTGAAAGAGAAATCTCATTCAAAATAACCACAAAATGGATAAATTATTTGGGCAAGGTCAACTTGCAATTATAAAATACTCCTTAAATAAAGAAAAAAAATTAAAAAGTTGGAGGATTATATTGTGCTCATGCTATACAAATTAAACTATCAATGAGTTACTTTACGTATCTGTGAGCCTATCATTCATGGACAGAGGGCAATATTTAGTTGAACTGATTAACTACAATGGCAAAAGAGTCTGGCCTGTAAGGCTTTCCAAAATCTGACTCCAGACTATCGGTCTAGACTTATTTCAGATTATTCTCTATCTTGAACTATACATTCTAGCCAGGCTAGTTTGCTAATTACCTGAATTCGACATTCACTCAGACCTTCTTGATGTTGTATAGTCTCTCCTCATGTCTAATTTCAGAGACTTTCTTTCATCCTCCCACTTGTTTGGGCACTCCCCTTTTTCAAATTACTTGGTATAACTTAACTTCTATACATATTCTATCTCCCAGGGCATAGTAAGCTACTTTATCATGATTTGGATCTCTTTAGTCCTTTTAAACTGGCACAATCCCTTGTATATTAGCAGGCACAATTCTTTTTTGTTCAATTTTATTCATTAACACATTTTTACCCTTCCTCCTATTTCTACAGGAGATGACAGAATGTCCATGGTGAGTGGATTGGTATTGGTCAGAGCTTGAGTAGGTGTGAATGGATCAGTGTCAGTAATAAGAGATTGGGTGGAGTTTAATTGTGGAAAGGCTTGAATTCCAGGCAAAGGAGTTTTACTTAGAACAAAGTAGGGAGCCACCGAAAATTTTTGAGCAGGAGTGACCTGATTAGATTGATGCATAAGGAACACAAAAATTGTGTTAGAGACAATCAAATAGCAGTGTGATGGTCCCTGTGGCAGCCAGAATACTC